TCGATGGAATTGATTTCTTGGCCTACCGAGTGCAGACTGAGAATAAAACCGAAGCACATTAAGCCAGCAAAGGTTTAGTGTTGTCAGCTGTCATCCGCCGCTCCATATTGTCTTGAGTGCATACATCAGTCATCGTTCACTTCATCTTCCTGGAAGTTTCTCCTCGTGTATCAGACTATGGTTCTCATGCTGTTGGATGCTGACCTGGTCATTCACAAAATGGTTGCTATATCGGTCTCTATCCATTTCAACAGTTCTGACTACCAAGGTTGTTATGTTACTCCTATAAAATCTTGCTCCCGTGATCTCATCACTTGTCTCTCCTTGGAAATTCCCTTTATTTTTCATTTTTTTTTTTCATACTAGTTTCACATGAGGCTTTAGAGAGGACTTTCCATGCTTTCCTGTCCTGTGCAATCTTCATTGCAGTTTTTCATGTCAGAGATGCCGCACTTAGGTCACCTTTATCGTTCGTCTACATGTTGTTTTTGGGCGCTTTTTGTTGTTGTTGTTGTTGTTTTCTTTAGGGATAAATAAAAAGATTGCAGCTTCTTCCTCCATCTTTTTTTTTTTAAATTGGCAGCTGCGGTTGTGTAGTGGCCTGCCTTTCTAAAAGTCTTGAGTTCAAATTCGCATCGTTATAGATTGTTTGGTTTTAGAATTTATTTTCGATCCTGGTATAAAATGGGTACCAGGTAATGCACAGGGATGTAAAGGCTGCCTTTGTGATTTGACCACATTACGCATCGAGCGCCTTTTAGTCTACAAGAATTCCGGTCTTTCATATCACCGACGCCTGAAAAAACTCCATAGTTTTCTTACTTACTTACTGTCTATTGCCCTGTGCCTATCGGTCTTATACTTCTTCTTCTTTGTTTACCAGCTGAAATCTCCTGGGGAAAGGGACTGGCTGTTCGTCCATTTGGACTTTAGCTTTGTGTTCGTTCGTTAAAAAAAAAATGTGACCATGTAAAACCGCATTCGGTTATAATTTTAATCGCCCCCCCCCCTTTTTTCTTGACTGTGAAGAGTTACAAGGGGATCTCGCCGACGCTCGACACTCAGGTGAAAGGCGAGACGGGTATACAATCAGACAGTTATTTGTACTATTGGAATTTTAACTCTTCGCTTGCTGCTGAAGATAAGGACGGAGCGCTTATGGGGGTGTCCCGAGTGATGTGATGTCAATTCCCAATCCAACATTTAACATTCCCTCTTTCTTGACTTGATTACGTGTTTGCGGTAGTAATGTCATGCCTTCTGATTTTTGTTGTTGTTGTTGTTGCCAACCGTATCTGTCGAGGTTCTGGATTGTAGGATCTGCGCTGATGTCTGAAGTTGTTCTTTAGGGGTCCTGAAAAGAACTAATCCTTTAAAGGACTCATCTTGGGTTGACTTTTTGCCCAAAGTCCGCTGTTTCTTTTTCCTGCCTCTGGTGTTGTCTAGTCCCCCCTCCCCCTTCTCCATCAGTGAGTAAGTCAGTCAGTCCACAGACCATTGATCTAGAGAGCCAACCAGTCAGTCAGTCAGTCATTAGGTGATTGGAGATGTGAGCGAGAGAGACAGAGAGAGGGAGAGAGAGAGAGAGAGAGAGAGAGAGAGAGAGAGAGAGAGATGGTGTGAGCGAAAGTGGGGAATTGTAAGATATAGGGAGTGGGAGGGTGTATATATATATAAGTAGAGAGAGAGAGAGAGATAGAGAGAGAGAGAGAGAGAGAGAGAGATAGTGTGAGCGAAAATGGGAAAGTGTAAGGGAGTGGGAGGGTGTGTATATATATATATAGTAGAGAGAGAGAGAGATAGAGAGAGAGAGAGAGAGAGAGAGATAGTGTGAGAAAATGAGAGGCGTGGGGGTAGGGTGTATATATATTATAGTCAGAGAGAGAGAGATAGAGAGAGAGAGAGAGAGAGAGAGAGAGAGAGAGAAAGAGAGAGACCGAGAGATGGCACTCAGAAGATGGTTCTAGATTTAAAAGTCCCTTTTCTGTGAACTGATAGAACAACAACAAAGGTACCATGAATGTTTTCGCGGTTTCCCTGTACAGGTCACTGGAAGGAGCCACGAATCCCACCAAATGTGTGGTAAATGTCTGTGCCACCAATATTTGATTAAAGACACCGTACTTTAGTTCACTTCGCATTTCACATAAGTGAGTTTCAATGTATACGGAAGTGAGCTTCAAAGCCAGACCGCACTGTACGAACTTACTGAAGAATTTCAACGGAAATAGCTAATTTGGTACATATATTGGAATAAGTATTGGAATTAGAGCAAAACATTAAATTTATAATGTTGACAAATCTGATTCAACTTCAAGACTTTCTAGTTTATCTAAGAACAGATTGTGGCACCGTGTATTACAAGTAGGATTTTTATCTTCTTTTTCTTCTTTTCTTCTTCTTCTTCTTCTTTGCTGCTGCTGCTGCTACTACTACTTTTTCCTCCTCTTCTTCTTCTTCTTCTTGTTCTTCTTCTTCTTCTTCTTCTTGTTCTTGTTCTTCTTCTTCTTCTTCTTCTTCTTCTTCTTCTTCTTCTTCTTCTTCTTCTTCTTCTTCTTCTTCTTCTTCTTCTTCTTCTTCTTCTTCTTTTTCTTCTTCTTCTTCTTCTTCTTCTTTCTTCTGCGCTTCTTCTAGTATTAATTATAGGATCTTCTCTTCTTCTTCTTCTTCTTCTTCTTCTTCTTTTCTTATTCTTCTTCTTCTTGAGGTCTTCTTCTTCTTCTTCTTCTTCTTCTTCTTCTTCTTCTTCTTCTTTCTTCTTCTTCTTCTTCTTCTTCTTCTTCTTCTTCTTCTTCTTCTTCTGTCTTCTTCTTCTTCTTCAGTTCTTCTTCTTCTTCTTCTTCTTCTTCTTCTTCTTCTTCTTCTTCTTCTTCTTCTTCTTCTTCTTCTTCTTCTTCTTCTTCTTCTTCTTCTTCTTTTCTTCTTCTTCTTCTTCTTCTTCTTCTTCTTCTTCTTCTTCTTCTTCTTCTTCTTCTTCTTCTTCTTCTTCTTCTTCTTCTTCTTCTTCTTCTTCTTTTCTTCTTCTTCTGCTGCTGCTGCTTCTGCTGCTGCTGCTGCTACTACTACTAATACTTCTTCCTCTTCCTCCTCCTTCTCCACTTCTTCTTCTTCTTCTTCTTCCTCTTCTGCTGCTGCTACTATTACTAATTCTTCCTCTTCTTCCTTCTCCTCCTCTTTTTCTTTTTCTTCTCTTTTTTCTGCTATTCCTTAATCATGCTTTTTTGTCTTTTTTTTTTTTTACTGTGAACGTAGATTGTAGATGTCATATTATTTTTAAGTTTTCTGAGTTGTATTAGCGGTAAGGGCAGAGATTATTTTTTCACATGGACTTAGACTTCCAGTAATTCACCCCCTGGTCTCTGGGTAGTGAGATTAGACCCCGTGTGCATTGTTGCGCACGTAAAAAAATCCCTTGGCCGGTGGAAATCGAAAAGAGTAGCCTAGCAACGCTGCCCGGGCAAAATGTGGAGTTAAAAATCTACCCAAAGTATTTCAGGATCCTCCCCAGTGCTACAGATCCTGTGGACTGTGCTGAGCTTCTTACTTAGGACACGGATTTGAGCTAGAGGAAGAACGGAGCACTTTTGGGTACTACGATGTTGATCCATTGTTCAAACATCGCAATCTAATTTTCTTCCTTGGACAATAACTGATGGAGAAATATGTTTCGAAATTTGAGATATACTTGAATGTACTAGTCGTGAACGTGTATCAACACAAAACTACACACTAAATGTGCCCGAACATAGGAGATGGAAGGAAACTTTGAAATATAAAGTGAAATTTTTCTAAACGCTTGAAAGAATTGATCAGTTGGGGTCAATAAAGGACAGGGAAAGAAACTTAGAGAATACACACTGACAATACGTATCGAGGAATAATTTGCGATCCAGTGCATGTTGGCTGCCACTGGATATTGCCATGCCGTGAAGGTGTAGAGTGTCTTTAATGTTGTCTATCCATTTTTTTCGCGGCCGTCCGCTTGCTAGCCGATCTTCTGAGGTGTAGTGCCTGTTGTGGTATTTGATCTTGCTGCACTCTATCGAGATGGCCAAACCATTTGATCTGCTGTTTCTAGATGAATCTAATACGAGGAGTCGTTCCCACGATGTGTCTTATATTTTCATTATTCACTCGATTTCAGATGGTTAGGCTGACGGCTTTTCTCAGGTATCTTGTCTCGTAAGCTGTGATTTTGCGTAAATGGGCTTTAGATAGTGTCCTCGTTTGGCCTGGTAGCTTAGACTATAATGAATATACTGTTTATAATATGCCTGTTTTTTCACTGAAAGTTTATGTTTGAGTGTCTTAATAATGGTGACAGATGGTATATACGTGCACTTACTTAAAATATTATATAAGTGTAATTTCGGGATGGTTGCCGGGTTCGATCCCAGTTGCAAGCGATTTGACCGAAGACCGCTTTGTGTTGTTTTCGAAAGTGTTATTGAAAACGGCATGTCCAGAAAAGAGTGGGATAATACTGAATGTAAACAGTCTAAAAATTATTGGGTTGTTTCTTTAACGTGCTAAATTATTTGCTGAATTTTATCCACATATACTATTCTTTTATAGACAATAGCGTTTGGAGAAATAAATACGAAGTTTCGAGATATACCTTTATACACTAGGTGAGAACGTGAACTGACATATTGAATGTGACCCAAATTAGGAGAGGGAAAGTAACTTTGAGAATACCGAGTGACGATAATATACAGGCTTGAAAGCTATAGTTACCAGGTGCAGTTAAGTTTAAGCCTCTGTGTTATACTAAACATTATGCTTTCAGCTGTTGGAGAAATGTATTCCGATGTTCGAGATATAAGTACTTTATGTACCGGGAGATACCGTATACTGAAACATTGAATATGCTCCAACAGAAGAGAGAGGAAGTAACTACAAGATCAACGTCACATTTTTCTGTTCCTTTATTATCTCTCTCGCCTACATTGTTATCGCCACATTTTCTGACAGGAGGCGTCATAGATAACAAGACTCAGATGAATGACATTGAAAGACGAAGCCTAGATAGACAATCAAAGAACATCAGATGGTTCACTCTCCCTCCCTCTCGTGTCAAGAAAGTAACAGCATCACCGGCGGCCTCGACCTTGATACATGCATCTTCAACATCACTACTATCGCTTTCATTGGTTGTTATTTCTGTCCTTATAGCCATGACGCCCGTAACATCAGTTTCCATATTCAGACCATCTTATGATGTGTTAGAACCATCTATAGTCCTAAAATTCGGAGTTATATTACCCTACTCCACACACTATGAATTCAGCATGAAAAAAGTTTTACCTGCTATTCAAATCGCCGTAGAAAGGATTCTACAAGACCCACATTTACTTCGCGATATTGGAGAAGTTGTTATCAACGAAGCTGATTCTAACTGTTCTCAGACTGAAGGTCCACTAGAGGCAATAGACATGTACCTTCGCGGGGATGCCCATGTCTTCTTTGGACCTACGTGTGACTTGGCAGTGGGTCATGTGGCATTGTACAGCGTGAGCTGGAATATCCCTGTCATAAGTACCGGTGCTTTTAATCAAGAACTTGATAATAAGAACGAATTTCGTGTTCTGACACGAATGCAGAGTACTTACAGTGATGTTGGCAATGTTTTCGAAAGTATCATGGATCGCTTCCGTTGGACGACTGTGGGATTTATTTATGATAACCACTTGTGCTACCACGTCACGTTCCCAGTTTTCACAAAAGTTGTTAACAGAAGCAACGCCACTGTGTTTCAGAAACCAATTTATAAACACAGTACTGTCATTTATGAATCATTTCTCAGAGACGCGCAAAAACAAGCCAGGAGTAAGTATTCTAGCTTGGTCGTTGTTTTTCTTTTTTAATGAATTTCTGGCTAGTCTCTGCGCCACAAGTGTTGTCGTGTGTTGTGTTATTTGTGTTATATGTGCATATACTACTGAGCGTAAAATTGTCTAGTAAAATCAGAAACAAACAACAAAAGCACGGCTTGGTTCTGTAAAGGTCTGACAATGTTTTATGCAGACTTTGCTGGCCTCGCTCTGAGGCTGACACACACAAAAAAAAGGGGGGGGGGGGTGGGTGTGTGGGTAGATATACGTCTCTTTTTGCTACTTGGACCTGGTTAAGGCTCATCAGGTTTGACTTTACTAATATCTGTCAATAGAACTTTGCTTCTGCCTTCTCCTCATGATGTTTTGGGAAAATGACATTGTATGGACATTATGTGGACATTGTATGGACATTATCTGGACACTATATAAACAGTATATGCACAGTGTATGGACATTATTTGGTAAAAATTGTGTGGTCATTCTAGACAGTACTATTATGGGTTGTTTAGGCCTTTTTTTTTTTTTAATTATTATTACTATTATTCATTTGGCAAACATTTCTTTGATTGATGAGACAGGTAAACAAAAGTACCGCACAGTGTCTTGGTTTATTTTGACTGATACAAGCTCTAGCACGTGAGTCGCCATCCAAACAAAGGTTTAGCATATTCTAGGTTTCACCCTGGTCTCTGGGTAGTAAGATCTGACGCCCGTGTGTATTGTTGAGCACGTAAAAAAATCCCCTGGCAGTTGGAAATCGAAAAGAGTAGCCTGAGAGCGCTGCCCGGGCAAAATTAGGAGGAAAAATTACCTAAAGTATTTCAGGATCCTCGCCGGTGGTACGGAGTTCATGCACTGTGCTGAGATTCTTGTGACTGAGGCTTGAGTTAGAAGTAGAACAAAGCACTTATGAGTTGCACCCGTGTGCTGTGATGTTGATCGGTCTAGTAAACATAAACATAGGTAGATGCTACTGATTACCATCTCTGGTATTTCATCTATCTACAACTTGCGTGGTCGACCTCTAGCTCTGCTTCAACTGTGCCTAAGTAGCAGAGCTGTCTGATGTTTACTATCTTTCTGCAATCTTGAGACATGTCCAAACAATTTCACAAACAACCCATAATAGCATTGTCTGAAATGACCATACAATGTCAATATATGACAAGGTTGTTTGATGTGCACTATCTGATAGCAGTTTTGAGACATGCCCAAACCATTTGATCTATTGTCTTTTGTAGTTTAATGCTGGTTTCGTCCAAACTTCTTTCCTGATATTGTTATTTATTATCTTGTCCCTTCTAGTTACAGGCAGGATTCCTCGAAGATATTTCATTTCTGTTGTTTCAATCATGTCCTGGTCTGTCTACACAAATATGACTCCAGTAAGAAAAACTTTACGTGCCTTTCTTCCATGTGTTCCTTCCTGGTGCTACCGGAATGTTTTAACACACACTTCGTCTTCTTCAGCGTTCCCAGCCCTTGAGGTTCATTGCTGCAGATATCACCCGCCTCCATTCATCTCTCTGGTTGGCCTTCTCTTTCCAGTTGGTAACAACAAGTGTTTGCAGGTCTGTCTGGACGTTATCTCTTCATCGTCTTATTGTCTGCCTCGTGGTCTACGACCATTCAGTTGCCTTGTGTATACCGTAAGACACACTGAAGTTACACAATCTGGGTGGCAATTTAACAGGTCAAATCCCCGGTACACTCGTTTAACCTTCAAAGAAGGTTTATGTTTTCGGGGTTTTGAACAACTGATTAACATCATGGCACACGGGTAATAACCCTAAAGTGCTCCGTTCTTCTTCTAACACGAGTCTGAGTACAAGAAGCTCAGCCCAATGCACAGACACTGTAGCACCGGCAAGGATCCTGAAATACTTTGGGCAGATATTTTACTCCTAATTTTGCAGCGCTGTTAGGCGTTTTTTTTTTTTTTTTTTTTCCAACTGCCAAGAAAAATTATTGCGTGCGCAACAGTACACACGGGATCCGATCTCACTACCCAGAGACCAGGGGAAATTACTACAAGTCCAAGTCCACGTGAAAAAAAAAATCACAGCCCTTATCAGGGAATGAACCCGGAACCTCAAGCACTCGAGGCGGACACCATGCCTTGAGATCACGCAGCTGCCCCCCCCCCACCCCCTTTTTTCCCAAAGAAGGTATGATTCGGTACAGGTAACGTTTACATCAGCCAGGTGTAGCCAGCAGGAGAAGTTGCCGAATTTAATTCATTATGAACCCAATGTGTTATTTTTGTGAGAGCAGAGATAGGACAAGTAGTGAGACAGTGTATTTATCACAGCGAACAGTAGAATGAGCTGTGTTATGCTGTAGGTTCTTTGTGCTCTTTTGTTTGCGCCATATGTTCTTTGTGCTCTTTTGTCCTTGCATTGTGACTTCTTTTGTCGCCATTGTTGTTCTGTACTGAGCCTAAATACTCTGAAAATGTAACGTTTTCTATGTTTTCATTGTCGATGTTAATACTTGGTTCGTGTGGTGTATTTTATTATCTAGTATCAGCCTCAGCTCCAAATGGATAGACATCGTTCGGGAGTCACATTTAGCATCCATCACCTGTATCTACACAACTGAGCATGCCGGAGTAAAAGATATTAAACGAGCAGACTTACATGTAATGCCCCCCCCCCCCCCCCCCCCCCCCCCCCAAAAAAAAAAACCCAGTCCATGCAGGAAGATGCATGGACAGAGCGGATATTATTAACGCTGTGTGGACTAGTGAGGCGGATAGTAACAAATCTCTGACGCAAACAGGATTGCGTGATCTCTGAGTGAAGCTTCCTGAAGCACGTTGGTGCTATTTTCGAAGTGAGGTAGTAGACATTGTAAACAATTTTTCTTGGGGACAGTCAGTGCAGGTACCTTGGGTTGGCTGTTACATCGAAGGACTGAGCACGCATGAGAGTCCCAGTGTGCAGTGACGTCGATTGTGATAAAATAATATGAAGTTATCGACCCAGAACCGTACTAGCAGAAAATACTGCGATAACATGTGGGGATGAAACGTGGACCACTGTTTCAATAGTAAGCACACACTTCGCGAAAAGTTAGCCTAACCTACAGCCTCGTGCTGGCTATGCGGGTGTTCGAGGCAACGAGCGTGCAAGTTATCTGGCAGACAGTGTTGTTGCTATGATTTGTCTGGTACTGTACAGAGGCGATGTTAACAATGTATCCCTGTCTTAAGCTGATCGTCGGAGTGGGCTGCAACCTGAAGCTGTAGGAAATAAACATTTGACAAATGGGGAGAGGATGTTGGATTAATCAACACAGAAGAGGTGTCATCAGTCGTTTTCATTTTGTAGAGCTTTTGGGGATAAGATCGAAGCATCTATGGATCTGTCCTCACTAATCTCTAACCACTGAGTCACTGCAGATCCTTAATATAAAATACGCATTTCTCATTTTTGTCTGTTTTGAAGCCGGAGCAATGAGCTAAGAACTTCTCAATCAAGTCAAAGGAGGCGCGATCCGAGCACTTTTGGGAATTATCTCGGGAAGTTTCCGCTTGTCCTGCTAAATACCATGAAATGATATCGGTTTCTTTGTTGGCCATTTTTGTAATTGTTTTTATTGTTAACAGTTTGTGTGGGGTTTCATTGAGGCTGTGATTCCAGCGTTTTATAGTCTTCTTCTGTTGCTGAGAAACCAAGAAGGCTGTGTGTTAATGCCTGTTGTGATTTGGGAATTTTGTCAGGTTTCTTGTCAGATAAATTCTGCATAGTTGTAACATTTATATTCGCGTGTGTATATGTGTGAGGGAAGGGGATCCTAAATTGTTTTTCTGTCTGTCCCTTTCTGTCTGTACCCTTCTCCCACTCTTAAGTATGTGTGTCCTCTCTCTCGCGCACTCTCTCTCTCTCTCTTTATCTTTCTCTCTCTCTCTTTTTATCCATGTAAAGATATATATTTATATTATATATATATATATATATATATATATATATATATATATATATATATATATATATATATATATATAATATTGTGTGTGTGTGTTTGTATGTTCAAGAAAGGTTAAAGAGGTGTAAAACAAAGGTGAAGTTTATATACTGGGGAGAAGCGTACACAGAACCTTCAAATAGGCTCTTCAGTAGGAAACAGACTGAATAATCGCCGCCGTCCAAAAGAAACCCAGTGAGGGACATTGGTGAGAGAGGCCAAATATGCTTTACTGGATTCAGTCCATTTATTTAAACTTGCATATGATGAAGATCAATGGAAGAATTAACTGCAAGCCTTGTGTTACTTGTAACGTCACAACATGATGAAACGATTATTATAGGTAGAAGAAGGATTCCATTGCCGAGATTTAAATGTCGTTATCGCTTGGGTGTTTGCAATTAATGAAATCAGAGCAAACTACTTTATCGTCTGTATTATGAATATCCATAGGAAATTCACGGAAGCTCAAGCAGAAGACACAATAAGACAAGAATGCAGCTGGAGAACACTGGGCAAGGAGTGGGGTGGGTCAGAGTACCAGCAGAAAAGACCAACCTTTGTAGGCTTATGATCACATTCAGCCGGATGTGTAAGTCAGTGGCCAGCGAGTGCTGCGGAGTTGAAAGTCCAACAGTTGATTCACAACAATTCACACCTAGGTGATCTTATTATCTGTACAGATAGTTCGGTGTTGAGAGGAAAGTGAAGTGCCTGGGGATTCATAGCGAAAGCCAGTGGAAAATCTTTAGTGCTAGACAGTCTGGCATACGACACTACAACATCTAGCATGACAATGGTCACGGACAGTCAGCATACTTTGGATCATTTCTCAAGGATATGGGAACAAGCAACGAAATCAGTACAGATAGAAGATTATTATGGCCTGGAGAGAATGAGGCATCTGGGTGTAATCAGAGGGTCTGGCCGGCTCACTACACTCAGTGAAAAGGCAAGACAGACATATAACCAGATTATGACCGGCACCATCAGTAATAGAACTCTGCGCTGGCTGCTGAAGATGAGGACGGAGCATGCAAGGGAATGTCCCAAGTGATGTGATGTCAATTCTTGAATAAACTCAACTTAACTCAATTCACGGAAACAATCTGCTAGCTTTTTTTCCGTTGAACCGAATATTTGCTTGTTAAAATATTTTTCTGCATCGCGCATCCTTTAAATCAGTCGAAAGGGGCATAGCAATGATAATTACACAATCGATATATTACTGTTCATACATACACGTAACAACAGAACATATTGCCTGTTGAATAAAACCCCTTCCAAAACGGAATTAAAGACATGCCTCTGTGTCGAATACCACTTGCAATACATGAAAAGAACCGGTGCCATTGCTTCTCTCTAATTTCTAAAAATATTCGGGAAACTTAACCTCCGCGTGAGGGTCAGACTCCCTATTTGAGTGCATGATTGTCTGATGGCCTCTTCTGTTATTACACCTCTAGCTGGAGTTGTCCAGCCGGCTTGGGGATTGCCACGGAATCAAATGATGAAATCTAAATTTTGGCTGTCTTGTCATTCCTAGTAAAATATTTGCTCAGGGAAGGACGAGCGAAAGTGGGTCTGGAGGGTTGCGAGTGAGTTAGTGGCGAGCATGTCTGGGACAAGACTATCGCGGTGGACACCGGGTTGGAAGAAGGAGGGCAGGAGACTGTGAGGGGAGGGGGAGACAAAGGAGTAGAAAGATAGGTAGAAGAAGAAGAAGAAGAAGAAGAAGAAGAAGAAGAAGAAGAAGAAGAAGAAGAAGAAGAAGAAGAAGAAGAAGAAGAAGAAGAAGAAGAAGAAGAAGAAGAAAAGGAAGAAGAAAAAGAAGAAAAGGAAGAAGAAAAAGAAGAAAAGGAAGAAGAAAAAGAAGAAGAAGAGGTGGGGGGGGAAGAGGATAAAAACGAGCAGAAGGGGGAAGACAAGGTGTAGAATTAGGAAGGGGGAGGAGGAGACGGAAGCTTAGGAGAATGGGGAGACAGAAAAAGAAGAGAAAAGGAAGTGAGGAAAAAAATATAAGCTAGATAAAAGAGGAGTAAGACGGAGAGGGGGCAGGAGGAGGATAGCAAAGAAAGAAAAAGAAAAGAAAAAGGAAGGAAGAAGATGATTAGAAAAGTGAGGAAGGAATCGAAAAATACAGGAAGACACATTTTTTCCTGTCATTATGTTACCGGATTGTATATAGCCCAGTGTTATGGTTATCTGTATTATTCTTAGGCATCTCGTATGGCTTGGGTTTCTTTATCTTTTTGCAGGTTTCCATCTGTTTATATTTTCCTTGGTCTTCCTATTGCCTTTCGTTTAGGTGATCAGCTGAAAATCTAGCGACCTGGAGGAAAAAAAAATGCATAACGAGATAAATAAGACACAAGAAAATATCAAAAATATGAATGATACTGACAGACCGTGGGATTTCCGGTGCCCTATTTTGGGTGACGACAACATGGAGAGAGAACTGACCCGCTAGCAAAACAAACTCGCAGAAAACAATCAAATCTTTCTCCAGTGGATCCCGGCCCACTGCGGCATACCAGGAAATTAGCAGACCGACTTGCTAAAAATGGAACAAAGGAGAAACAATACACCCATCCATTGCCATTACCAGAAATCAGAAAACTTATCAAGGGAAAATAACAGGAATTATGCAGAGAACTTACAATAAACATTCACAATACCCCATCAGCAGGCTCAACAGAAAGCAACATAAAACAATTCTCCGTCTACAAACAGGACACTGCAGACTCCACTTCCGCATGCATAAAATAAAGATTGTACAGTCCCCACAATGTGCCTGTCAAACAGGACCACACACATCTGAGAACATTCTGCAGACCTGCCCACTCTACATACAACTTCGTAAAGACACTTGGCCCCAAGAGCAAAGTATGCAGAGCAAGCTATGGGGAACCTCGCAGGACCAGCAGCTGACATGCGAGTTCATAGAGCCAACCCGCCTGATGGTCTGATCCGAGCATACGAAACCGAACGCAAAGAAAGGTGAAAATACCTACCAAACGTGTCGTATAAGGCGACTAATTAGGAATTTTTCCTCGAAAGTCAAGGCGCATCTGCCTGAGAGGCGAGGAAACAACATCCTGCACACGTATAAGCAAATCTATAAAACCGATGTACAGGCGAAATTCGAGTTCTTAAACTTGTCCAGAATTAGATGAACAACTAGAACTTGCCGCCAGAGTTTACAGCCGGTGACCAGAACTTACTGTCACAGTTTACAGCTGGTGACTTGAACTTACGCCACAGTTTACAGCCGGTTACTAGAACTTGCCGCCACATTTTACAGCCGGTGACTAGAACTTACTGTCAGTTTACAGCCGGTGACGAGAACTTGTCGCCACAGTTTACAGCCGGTGATAAGAACTTGTCGCCAGAGTTTAGAGTCGGCGACTAGAACATTCGCCACAGTTTACAGCTGGTGACTAGAACTTGCCGTCAGAGTTTTACAGACGGTGACTAGAGCTTGCCGCCAGAGTTTACAGCCGGTGACTAGAACTTGCCGCCACAGTTTACAGCCAGTGACTAGAACTTGCCTCCAGAGTTTACAGCCGGTGACTAGAACTTGCCGCCAAAGTTAAGAGCCCATGACCAGAACTTACCGCCATTGTTTACAGCCAGTGACTAGATCTTGCGCCACAGTTTACTGCCGGTGACTAGATCTTGCGCCACAGTTTACAGCCGATGACTAGAACATACCGCCATAGTTTATAGCCGGTGACTAGATCTTGCGCCACAGTTTACAGCCGGTGACTCGACCATACCGCCATAGTTTACAGCCGGTGACTAGATCTTGCGCCACAGTTTACAGTCGGTGACTAGATCTTGCGCCACAGTTTACAGTCAGTGACTAGAACATACGGCCACAGTTTACAGTCAGTGACTAGATCTCGCGCCACAGTTTACAGCCGGTGACTAGAACATACCGCCACAGTTTACAGTCGGTGACTAGAACTTACCGCCACAGTTTACAGTCGGTGACTAGATCTTGGGCCATAGTTTAGAGCCAGTGAATAGAACATACCGCCACAGTTTACAGCCGGTGACTAGAACATACCGCCACAGTTTACAGCCGGTGACTAGATCTTGCGCCATAGTTTAGAGCCAGTGAACAGTAACAAGAAGAAAAAGATTATATAGACTTAGAATGAAGGAAAATTACGAGTAACCAACGAAACCTATAATGACACCTGCAAGGATGATTTGTACGTAGATACCTTAATTGATGCGAATCTTCTTCTGTGTTCACCAGCTGTAAGCACTGGTGGAAAGTTCTGGTTGTTCGTCCATTTGGAATTTGTGACAGAGCCTGGGTTTTGCGTTTACATCTGTTTTACTGGCTTATTTGTGAGCAGTTTTTTTTTTTTTTTTTTTTGGGTTCCTGCTGATCGGGCAGATGCACTCGACTTAGAAGGAAGTCCCCAATTAGTTGACTCTACGACATGCTTGTTAGGAAAACAGTGGGTCTGTTCTAGTTTTCTCCCACAATGAGTTCGTGGAAGTTAGACGGGGAGGAGGTATATCAGAAAACATGTAACTGCAGTTAGTTGCGTATTCTTTACAGGACGTTGGTATACCAACCCCAGCATATTATGGCTTTTGTGGCTTTTCAAGGCAAATTTTTCGCTCAGTAGTTTGCCATTGCTTACTGAACGTACCACTGTCGAAACCAACGCATGACAGCTGGTATTGAACCCGGCACCCCGGCAGTACAAAGCGACTTCGCAACGCCTAAGAGCTTTCACCAAGTCTGCTGGATCATAAAGTAGTTCACCGCCCAAAGGAGCAACAGCGACTAATCTATAAGCCAGCTCATTACCCCGCACAACAAAATCTCTTGAGTGAAAAGGGGGGTGGGTTCGGGTGTCCTCTTATATGCTTCTGATCTGAGTCTTATCAAGTGATACAAGCCATTCAATACTGTTAGATACAGTGATATAACTGTGTATACAGTTGAACCAGACATCAGAAGGAGTCAGCCATCATTTTTCGGCCGTGTTATGAGAAGAGGAAAAATAGAACATGTTGTGACCACTGGAAAGATTTGTCGAAGGAGAGATGAAGGAAGACAACGAGAGAAGATTCTTATCAGTCTTGTTGCATGGCATGAAGGTGTGTCGGCACACGAACTGATACATACTGCAAAAGAAAGCAGAGTGTGGAGAGGCATGTTCGCCTACGCCAGTCGACAAGGTACCTGATGATTATACAGTTGAACGGGGTTTCCGTTGTCTGCTTCTGTTGAATTCTCACCCGGTTTGCATCTATTTGAGTCACCGGATCTTCAATATCTATTAAAGCAGTCCTTGAGGAAAGAAATAAAATGGTGGGGGGGGGGGGGGGGGGGGGGGGGGAGGGGGGGGGGGAGGGAACACAATTTAAAATAAAAACATAGTAATCAATCATTACTAGTGTGATGCCACAATGTCCGTAGAAGGCATTATATGTTCTGAACAACAACAATACATGAATCGGACAAACCAACTACACGGTGTTTCACATTTCTTTTCAAATTTACGGTTGTCAATTTACGGCCTGCTGTTAATTCTCTGAAACACCTCGCATCACCTTTTGATCTCATATATCTTCTGTATCGGCTGCTTTCAAGTGTTATTTATGGATATCAGGAGAAAAAAAAGAAAGTAAATATATTCCGTGTCGTAACCTTGGCCACGCCGCAGATGATTAATACAGCGGATGTAGTGAGTGAGTGAGTGACTGATTGAGTGAATGAGTGAGTGAATGAGTGAGTGATTGAGTGAGTGTTTGAGTGAATGAGTGAATGAATGTGTGAGTGAATGAGTGAGTGATTGTGTGAATGATTGAGTGATTGAGTGAGTGGATGAGTGAATGAGTGAGTGATTGAGTGAGTGAGTGAGTGAGTCAGTGAGTGAATGAGTGAGTGAATGAGTGAATGATTGAGTGAATGTGTGAGTGAATGAATAAGTGAGTGATTGAGTGAGTGAGTAAGTGAGTGAGTGAGTGAGTGAAGGAGTGAAGGAGTGAAGGAGTGAGTGAGTGAGTGAGTGAGTGAGTGAGTGAGTGAGTGAGTGAGTGAAAGAGTGAGTGAGTGACATTCAACCCCACCAGAACCGCACATCAAGCGATAAACATCCGGTGACACAAAGTGCCACCATTCGGATGAGAATCACCCAGTAACAGAAGCTCCGTTCAACCTCTAGGTTATATTAGTCCGACCAACTACAGCCTGGGTGGGGCTTTTAACTAAAACAAAAATTGAGTCCAAAATGAACAACTGAGCTGGTGTGGTATTCTTCTTCGGGTGATTTTACTGGGAAGTGAAAAAAGGGACGTGGTTAAATGTATTCAAGAATTTACTGAAAAGATATGGTTAAGATTTAATATGACCGTGTTAACCGTGCGGGGACCCAGTTTGTATAGGGCGGTAGGGAGCGGCCCACTACCCCTGTAGCAAGCATGTCGTAAAAGATGACTATTTTAGGGCTAGTTCTTTCGAAATCGATTGCATCTGTATGAGAGGCCCGGAATCAATACATCCTCTGCACTTAAGTCTCCTTTCAGAACTGGAGTGTGGCGTGCACATCCGATTAACAGATGTGACCTATGTGTATGCAGTCTGTTGGTTCCATGCCTCTCAGGCAGATGCACCCCGACCACGAAGAAAGCCTCCCACTAGTCGACTCTTACGACATGCTTTCTTGGTATGCAGTGCGTCTAATTCTTGTTTTCCCCACACGTGGAAAATACTTTTTAAGAGCACTTAATTTTGTATGTCCATATTTACGTCGGTCATTCTGCCTGTTTAATTATAAAACAGTTTCTTGTTTCCTGGCATAATTAAAATAAACGTCCGTCAATCTCATAATTATTCTTACCTCAGGCGGTTATGATTAATTTTGTTTAACTTTCGTAAGTTATTTTTTTTTTTTATTTTGTCCATCATTAACCTTAGTTTTTTTGTTTTTTGTTTTTTTGTAACACATTTTTTTTTTCTTTTTATTCTTCAGGAATGAGATTTTTACTTGAATTTTTGTTTTTCCACTTCAAACAAGAAATTGTATCTAACGCCTCAACGTTTGTTAATGAAAATATAAAAGAATTGTTTGTACGAAGAAGCTTCAAATTAAAACAGGAAAAGTTTTTAGAAATTACAGTAACCATTTCATTGTCTTTTAACCCGGTAATTTAGTTGTTAAGGATATCAAGAGTGTTAAACACATGACGTCGCGGAGCAGACTAACACGTTAACGTTATAATTACAGTTAAAGATGACCGTCCCACTTTTTACATGCACCTAGAAGAGCAGCGTTTTTTATTTTTGATTAGATTTGTTTTTAATCAGTGAAGGGGTGAGTAGTATAAAAAACCATAGACTTAGAATGAAGGCTTAGGATGCATACCTCTCAGTCCGGCAAGTCTAGAGTGGCGTATAATGTTTTCAAACTGTGTGACTTCTGTGATAGACTGTTGACGACCACGTCAGGCACACCCGGCAGTGACCCAGGAGTCGGGTACAGCTGTTGAAGGTCTCGTACAGGCAAACTACTCAGTGCCTGTTGAATGTCATTGACGCTTTTTTTAACATCAGGCGAGGTTCTGCCAGTATGTTCTACAGTACCGCAAAGTGTATGCAAGGTGGGCGCCACAGCAGCTTACTCAAGAATTGTGGCAACGACGCTTTGATGCTTGTCAAGTGCTTTTTGTTCTTCTAATGTCCATGCCTTGTTGCGTTGGTAGCCATCTCTGTCCACAACCTTCTGTCTCGTGTACTTTCCTTTAAACCTGACAAAGATGATCGTTCGTGCCAGGATGTCAGACTGTCCAGCCTCTTTTCTCTCGATCTCCCTCTGCCTCTCCTCTGCTACAACTTTTTAACTGTCACGATGTACTCAAGTTTTCTCTTTCTCCTCACATAGCCAGAAGAATGTAGATTGTCTCTTCCTAAAATGCTTAAGATGTGATTTGTGCGTCTTTCGGCCTAACACATATTTTTTTTTCAGGAAACTTATAATGAGTAACATATACCAACATGCTTGTTTATGTGGCAGTAGGCTTTTCTTTGACCCCACCTTTACCCACCTCAAAAGAGGATATTATTCACTACCATGTTTTATCCAACATGGTCTCGGTCTCTCTCCGCAGAATGGCTAGCCAGCTCGAACTCTGTAGCTCCGGCGACGATCTCCAGGGATCTCCGTAAAAATTACACTCATACCTTCAGAGCGCGAGGCAGACGGCTTGGCCACTTTGCAACGGAGACCCCGAGAGAGAAAGTTACGAGAAGAACCATTTCATTTTACCCGACTACTAAACCAGTGTGTTGCACTCAGCATGGTTTTTTGTCGCTTGTTCAAACTCGGATCAGAAGCATATCGTGAATTTGTTGCCCATGACATTCCATTGTGTGTGATAGTTACTTAGCAGGCTAATTGACTGCTGACGCCCCTCCGCGCCAGGAGCTACTTTATGATAAAGCGGACGTGGGAAACTCTGTGATCAGGTTAACAGAGCAACTGAACATACAGAACATCCTCTGGAGGTCATAATTTACCGGAAAGCAGTGGAACTGTAGAGGGTCACGACAAATTTCCATCTGCAGGGGTGAACCCCCAAAAATGTACTTCTCATTAGGTTGCAACTGACACAATCAATTTAGGAATGCTTCAATGCCGACTAAGAAAGGAGGTGGATCACGTAAAATAACCACCTTTCCTTCCCTTGAAATAAGTTGTCTACATCAACAATTTTGTCTCTCGCATAAATTTCACTGTCGTTGTTAGTTCATTCAGTGGTCCATAGAGTTTACGTTCCACTGTTGTTCTTTTTAGCCAAAAGGTTTTCCTTAATGTGTCAAATTCGGTGCAGTCCTGGAGTACATGCTCTGCTGTCTAGAGTAGTGATGTCAAATCTTGATTGATTTATGTATTCTATCCTTCATTCAATCCTAGCATAATGTGTTTCTGTAACTGTACTCAGATTGTAGTGAAAACACAGTAGCATATATTAGATGTTAGTTGCGTACCCTTTACATGACGTTGCAGAACCAACCTCAGCATTTTGTGGTTGTTGTAGTTTTCCTAGGCAGATTTTCGTCCAGTAGTTTGCCACTGCTCTCTGGACGGTCGGATTCTCGATAACACTTTCGAAACCGACGCAAGACGCAAGGCCTGATACTAGATTGAACCCGATACCCCGACATTAAGAAGCGCGTTCGCAACGCACAAGCCACAGACGCCGACGTGTAAAATATACTAGATCACTTTAATTCACAATTGTCACACATGCCTGCCTATGTATAAGTGTGTCATAAAGAACATTTACCTACACCACATGAGAAGCCTTACATTCGCCTAACCTCATAGACAACCTGCGAGAATCAATGAGAGAGCCACAAGAAGAAAAATCTGGCTGGATTAGGAACGTGAATAAAAAATCATCAGAGGATTATACAGCTGAATAGAGAACTTCAGAATGTGAACAGCCGTTCTTTAAATTCGTAAAACCATGCTGCATTCCATTACACTTTCTCCGGGATCTAATCTAAGGTCCATATTTTCCGTCTCCAACGGCTATTCGTGAGCTAATGTGGCCCGTATTACGTGGCCGGTCTTTATATTTTTATGCATACGTTTCTATCAGGGTGATTTTCGATGGTTTATTGGTTGAGTCTGTAACCTAAATGCCTAAACATCGTTGGTTTGATCTATATCTTATAGTTTTATTTATGTACAAATTAGAGAATTCTGAAAATGTGCCCCTTCTCATTAACATTAGACAATTCGGCCCATTTTACATTTTTATTTGCAAACGTTTTAGAGAGCTGCGTTGTTTTACACTTTACATTCCTGCTGATAAAGTTTACAGGGATGTCATTCTTCCACTACTGATGTACGCTTAGGAAACGTGGACTGTGTATCAGCGCCATGCTAAAGAGTTGCATCAATTCCATATAACTTGCCTCAGAAACTGCTCCACATCAAATGACAAGATAGGATCCCAAATGCTGTGGTTCTTGATAGGGCAAACCTGCCTAGTATCCACACGATACTGCAGAATTATCTGCTGCGTTGGACTCGTCTCCTAACTCGCATGCCAGACTATCGCCTCCCAAAGAGAGTATCTTATGGCGAGCTCCAGCAAGGGAAGAGGTCCCAGGAAGGACAGAAAAAAGGGCTATAAGAACACTCTCATAACTGCTGTTAATGTTGTTTTTTTTTTTTTTGGCATCAACACAGCAACGTGGAAGGCTGCTGCACAGGACCGTCCTGAATGGCGTACATCCCTCAGACATAGTGCATCATCCTGTCAGGCAGCAGAGGTTGCACAAGCAGAGAAACGGAGGCAGAATCCTACAATTACTGCTACTTCCATCCGTTGTCCGCACTGCTCAAGAACTTCCCGGGCTCATATTGGACAAATTAGCCACGCTCATAAT